CCAGCTAGACTCCGACGCCCTGTAGTTCCCGATAAAATAACGATGCTGCTGCATGGTCGTAAAGGAAAACAGCGGAGCATGGCAGCACTCTCTCTAGGCGGGAATCCACCAGAGTGGTGATTTCCAGGATAAAAGGGTGGTGCTAAACTTCATGTCAGAGCACCAGCACATGATTTAGGGACAAGATCCTCTAAACCAGGACATAAGCACGCTGCGCTGTAAGAGCACTGCGAGGCTCTCGACAAGAAAGCCTGGCACTTTTACATTGCTCTAAAGACAACAAATTGAGGGGTGATTGACAGCTTGAGTGAGCACCTCTTTTATCTCCAAGAGCATGAATCTGGGGTGTGTGTGTGTCTCTACAGTAAGCCCTGGGGTGGTGATTATAATGACATATATAATAGTAGAAAGTTAAAGCATCAGTCTTAAAATACATACATACATATTATACACATACATAACTAATATACATGCATATATACACCAACATGCATACACACACTATATATACAAACACATTATATGCATACACTACACACACATTTTATATTTATATATACACACATATACACTACATATTATATACACACATGCATTTCTTATATGTATACATATATATACATACATACACATTATATATATATATATAAACACATACTACACACACACATCAGCATCGCTGGCTTATGCTTTTTTTCCTAGGGAAAAGCTAGTTTTGTTTTTGTTAATGGCTCCTCTGGCTCAAAACTCAAAGCCAGGCCAGGCTATTTCAGAGGAAACCACATATGATGCAGGCTGACATTATAAAGGTCCAGAAGGTGAAAGAAACTTTTCATTCTGATTAAGCTCAGAAACCCTACTGATTTAGGACTAGAAGAGAGTTCTATCGCTGGTACTCTGAATGCTGGATTGGGATGGTCTGGTGTGCTCACGCCTGCTAACAGGGTTCTAACAACATCTGACAAAAGCCTGACTGTCCCTCCATCAACAGCATGGCAATACGTCCACCTATTTGAAGTGTCAATCGTATGGAGCTCAAATGCTGCTCTGACAAACGATGTTCGGCTGCTCTCTCAGAGCCAGTCGGTGCCATCTGATTCCAAGTCAGACCACGGGTTCAAGGCAAGCAGCATCCACACAGCACTGTGCAAACATAACCAAATCTGCTCGCAGACAGGTTTAGCTTAGGAAAATCCATGGGGCACCAGGAAAGCGGGAGACTCCCTAGCCTAAAACATACCCTTTCTTGAGACTCCCCAGGACTTAAATGCAGTCATCTCCATGTTGAAGCCGTTTCCTTCATTTTTTACAGAATCAGAGCTAGCCAGCCAGTGGCTAACTCCAGAGAGCCACAACCTCCTGCCCCTCCTGCCCAGCTGTGCTGCACACACGGCAGTGAGCTCCTCCCTTGTCTACTGGTTAGCAGGCTCCGGGCTCTTGGTCTGCTAGCAGCATCTCTGGATGAAGGGATGGCTCCCCCTGGAGCCTGAAATGCTGATCTCCACTGAGGTCCACAAGCTACAGCTTTCAGTCTAAAAGTCTTCAGGTTCAGAAAGCTGGTTAAACAAAGGCCAAGGAGAGAGTGTTAGTTTCTGAGGAGACAGCAGTCTAACCTCCAGCTCACTAAGAACACGGGTAGAGTGGGTGGATATTGGGGAGACAACCCTTCCAGCTACCCATGATGTGCTGGCCATGCTCCTCCTGTAGCCTGGGTACCCATTATCCTAGCTCCAGCTACACTGTGGCTGACAAGAATGCCAAGGCAACCCAGCTTTGTTTTCAGCTAGACCACCCAGTGTGGGAAGAACTAATGCTGTGAGTGTGGGCCCCACATAAATACTTTAGTTTGGGAGCCATATAATCCCTGCTGTAGTTACTCAACTTCTGGGGATACCCTAAATGTGCATGGCTGTGTTCCAATATGAAACACCTACAAAATCAAGTCGGTCAGGTTACACCCAGGGGCTGCAGTTAATCTACAGTCAATCTAGACAGCTGAGTCCAGTCAACAGAGGTAAAGCTGGCTAACAACTGTAAAGAGAAGGCCCGGGAACTGGGTGTGGTGGGGCACATCTGTGATCCTGGCAGGCAAGGCAGCTGGATCAGGAGCTGGAGAGTAGGCTGGCCTATATAGTGAGCTCAAGCAAGGGCACATGGTAAGACACTGCCTCCAAGAATCAGTTTTTCCATGCTCCCATTGTACTTCTGCATAGCCTCTGCAGAACTATCCTGGCCTTTTCACCCTGCATAAAACTGAGAATTCCTTCAACTGTGTTAGTAATATCAACTATCACCACTCAGAGTTAGCTCTGCATTGCTTATGACCAGCGCGAGAAAGGCAGTGATTGAACAGTCTGCTCAGAGCTCACACCAAAGGCAGCAAGGCCTGGGAAAACGCAGGCCTCCCTCAACCAGCACTCACAAGCAAACAGGGGGTCTGTCACACACACGGGGTGGGGAGAGTGCTCAGAATCAATCCACTCAGCTTCACAGGCCAAAGACTCAAATGCTGACACACAGACAAGCATTGCAAAGAAAGGGATGCTGATGACCCTGGCAAAGCTTTCACAGAGGTGACACCAGTGATCTTGGGAGCAGATGCCCACTCCACTCTACATTCAACAGGCAAAAATGAAGCAGTTATGCCAGTTTATACATCGGCAGTTGCACTGCGGGGGAGAAAGACACCTGTGATGGAGAAGCCACAGACTACCTGGGCAAGAACAGTTTTCAAGACTTTCTCAAAGGACACAACAGTCAACTGTGTTGTGATGAAAAGACACGTGCCTATCAACTTCCAGCTTCTTCAAGCTCGTTACACCTGCTGAAGAGGGACAGGGATTTGTACAGATTCGATTACTTGGAATTTGTAGTATATTATTCCAAAAATTAAGAGTCAAAATCTTCAGCACTAGCAGAGACTTGTGCTTGGTGGAGTAGAGAGGGAGAAGGAGAGACAGGCAGTGTTAAAGTCAATCCCTGAGGGAAAGCAGGGGCTGGGAACACTGCTGGCTTTCCTAAAACCTCCCACAACCTGCTTCCCCTAACACTGTGACCAGTCACACCAGTGAGACCGTGCACATCTCCTGCAGTGCACACAAATTAGAGAATGGGCACAGGAAGGATGTGCTGGAGGGAAGTGGGAGCAGTGGAGAGGTAGAACATCCACCCTGCTCCCAGAAGCTTTGGGGCCATGTTTCTTCACACTTCACACTTCAGAATCTCCTTATCTCTCTGTATTAGAAATCACTCAAACATTCTCATCCTGTCCTCGGCCAGCTCTGAATCCAAGATGACAAACAGATGGCGCTGCCACTCTCTGCGATGACAACAGTAGTATCCAAAGGTCTGCTAGCTAACATCAGAGCAAGCAGCCCGACCGGAGCCAGTCACACACCTCACTGATCAAAGACAGCCTATCCTTGGGGCTGGAAGGACGGCTCCCTGGCTAAGCGCTGCTCGGGGAGAGAACCCAGACTAAGTCCCCGCGCCATCATGGAAGCTCACAAACATCTATAACTCAAGATCCATGATATCCGATAACCTCTTCAGGACTCCCAATGTGGCATGCATACATACGTGCAGTCAGAATACTGATACACATAATAAAAAATATGTAAGTTTTATATAAATAAGAAAGAAAACCTGTTCAACTAAAGGACCGAGGGGTGAGGTCTTTCGTTGAACTCTTAGTGAGCCGAGGGTTAGAAAAACAAAGGGGTTTTTCTTAACCCCTCCAACTCTCTTTAAAACTTTTTCTGCAGCGTCCCAGGTCCGCACTCAGAACTGTAGCAATGCATTGCTTCTCGGACCCTGAGGAGCCAGTCATCATTCCCAGCACTGCAGCTCCACTGACAGCATGGCACTTCTCCAGGATTTACCAAGGCAGAGACTGAAAGGGCTGGATGGAATGTATTCAGAGCTGAGATGGGGTTTGGGAGGTGATTTTTTAAGGAACCCGCTTCCTATATCTTTAGAAAAAATTCCTTTGTCCCTTTACCTTAGTGGGAGTATGGTCAAGATACTGACCATATCTGGGATGGCGATCTCATGCTCTGAGAACCTGCCACATAGCACACTGACTGATCCACTGTGGTACTTCACCTCCTATGCTTGCTGGAAAAGGACACTGGGGACTCCAAAACCGGAAAGGAGAACAGAGAAAAGCTCATGAGAGAGGTCATGATGGGCCACTGTGATAGATGATACAGAGATGGACAGAGAGAAACCTGACAGAGGACAAGCCAGAGGACAGCTGGATGCAGCTCTATTCTTCAAACTGAAGTTGCATATCCTATCTAGAGCCATTCAGATGCTAATGTCAGATGTCAATGGACCAAAACAAAATAAAACCCATCCCTCAGGATGGCACAAATGCCTGCCTCATTGCTACTGCTACACCAGCCCGGGAAGCCACTGACCTCACTATGGCCGCTGTGGTTAAACAGTGGCAATTAGGAGGGTTGCTACAGAGGTGAAGACAAGGACAAATTCTCCAGTTTTATGAAGAAATAAGATACGGTTACCAAAAGAAAATGATAGGCTCAATGACCAGTGGAAACCTGCAGTACCCTTGGATCCAAAGTCACAATCTGCTGTTGTCCAGTATCCCATTACCAATCAATTTTGGTTTGAATAACCCAGGTAATTGGAATACATCCATGCACCGCACAGACCGGGTCAAAGACTCTTAGCCAGAGCCTGTTGTCTCCAGCCCCTGAATACCAAAATAGTCACAGCCTTTGCTGACTTCTCAGCTTTGAGCAACTTCAAGGTCAGGTCCCACACAGCCTCCCACTGGAGCATGGAGGTTGAAAGAGGCTGTGATTCTAATGAAACAACAGCTCAGACGGCTGTGTGACCATCTTGAGACTGGAGCTTCACTACCAAAGTTTTACTACAGTTTTACATTTAAATGGAGTTCACTGAAAACCAAAAACAACAACAACAAAAAAAACCCCAAAGGAGTAAAGTAGGATGACAGTAAGGTATGGGCCTACCTATTCCTGAATTTGCGCCGGTAACCAGGACCACCTTTCCCGTGAAGTCTCGGCCCTGCAGGATCTCCATGGCGGTGGTGCTGCCGTCGTATCTCTGTCTGGTGGTTGGCTTTGTTGGATTATCATCCACAGTAAATGCCAACCTTGGGTCCAAGTAGGTAGTTCTTTTATTTATGTGGCTGCAAAGAACAGGGAGGGCATTGAACTCTATACAGCAAGGACCAGCATCTCCAAATACAAGATACTCTAATACCTCAGGCAAACACCATGATTCTTGCACCAGAAGGATTACTGTCAAACATGGAGAGATCCAGAACCCATTTGATCTTCTAACCTTCAGAGACTGTATTCCTGCCTGGGAACACAGCCATGGAAGCTTCTCAGAACTACTTGAAAGTACTACAGCACACTTGGCCCCTTTTCTCTCACAGCAGCTTCCTGAGATGGCTCTAAGCTTCTACTGAATTCTTGTTAATATAAATTTGTCTGTAAGATCTGCCAGGCACTCCCATCAATACATGTCGAGGTACTTTTGCTGGGCTTTTCAGGGGCCCAAAACCCCTGCTATACAAGGAGAAAGTGGAAATGATGGAAGTTTTAATAACTATAAAACGTTTTACTGTTTTGCATTTTAAGACCACAGCAATGCCACCTATAAGTGCTCTACTTTTGATTTGGAATTGATCTAGAACTAACAGAAACAACATTAAAATATACTGGCACATACAGATTATTAAATTACTCCTTTTAATACCATTTTTACATTTTAAATGTGTTCTTGGGCCATCAAGATGGCTCAGCAGATAAAGGTGCCTGTTCCCTAGCCTGATGACTGAGTTCAATTGCCAAAACCTATGAGATAAAGGAAACAATCGACTCCTGCAAGTCCTGATGGCCATGATGTGCATGCATGCGTGCACATACACACACTCTCTAAATATATAAAATGTAACACGAGAATTATGTGTATTCTTGAAATCTGAGATAAAGTCATTGCAATGTCCTAAACATATTTAAAAACTATTAAGAACCCTTCCAATGTACATGGAGTGCTGTGATTTAAAATGTGTATGTCTGGGCTTCATGGCACAGGCCTACAATCCCAGCAAAAAGAGGACTGTAATTTCAAGGCCAGCCTGAGCAACTCAGTGCGGCCCTGTCTGACAACACTGACTGATGTGGGAGTGTCATATATCAATCTGTTGATTTCATTGGTTAAGTTATAATAAACCAACTGCTTGGCCTCAGCTTGGAACATAGATGGGAGGAGTAAACAGAATAGAATTCTGGGCGGAAGAGGAAGTGAGGTCAGACTCTGCTCTGCTCCCGGAGAGACCCGACAGCTCTGCTGGAGCAGAGACGCCATGCTCAGCTCTCCCAGGCAGCTGCAACCCACGATGGACGTAGGCTAGAATCTTCCCGGTAAGCGCACCTTGGGGTGCTTACACACATCATTAGAAATGGGCTAGTCCAGGTGCGAGAATTAGCCTGTAAGGGCTAGAGTTCATGGGCCAAGCAGTTCTTTAAATGAATACAGTTTGTGTGTTGTTATTTCGGGCATGAGCTAGCCAAGCGGCCGGGGTGTTGGGGACGCAGCCCCGCCGCTCCTATTTCAACAGATGGCGCCCAGACGTGTGGCTAACTGAATCCACAAAAAGCCTGAGAAAGCTTGGGAAAGAATGGAGTGAAGCATGTTTTCTTGGTAGCAGAAATTTCTTGGGTCTACTCTGCTTGCTAGAGGCAAGCAAGCACTCTCATCTAAGAGAGGCTTCCTGACTCAGCTTCAGCTGCAAAACCCTGCAGCTCATTAAGAGGTCCTGCCACAAAACACTTAAATGGTGTTGACGAAAAGCTGAACGCATGCTTTTCGATTTTCAGCTGTAGCAGGAAAAAAGCTGTGCCGTTTAAAAATGCCGGCTTTCTGGGCTGTCCTGCCACGGCAAACTCTGACTCTTTTACGCAGGCGGTTCGTGTGGTTTGCAAGCACAGGCTGCTGAAGCTCGCTTGCTGGCAGGGACCTTGAAATGCCATAGAGTTGTGGCAGTAAACATGGCTACAACCGGTACCTCAGCCATGAGGCTGGAAAGCTAAGGAATGGACTGGATCTAGCTGGCAAAGCCACGGCTTTAATCCTACTCATATTGCTCAGTAATTTAAAGGCTCGTGTGGTCAGAAAAAGAGAGATATACAGTAAAGAGATTCAAAGATAAAGAAAATGTTTAAATGATTTACAGTGTGTTAAAAATATATGCAAGCTAAAAGTTAAAAGTTTTAAAAAAAAAGTAAGAAAAAGAGAAGTTGTGTGTGGTAGTACACGCCTTTAATCCCAACACTTGGGAGGCAGAGGGAGATTGACCTCTGTGACTTCAAGGTGTGGTAGCACACGCCTTTAATCCCAGTGCCTAGAAGGCAGAGACAAACAGATCTCTGTGAGTTCAAGGTGTGGTAGCAAACACCTTTAATCCCAATGCCTGGGAGGCAGAGACAGGCGGATCTCTGAGAGTTCAAGGAGAGCCTGGTCTACAGAGTTATTCCAGGTCAAAGAGATACAGAGAATATAAAATAAAAGTAAAAATAAACGAAATAGAGGTTAAAATAAAGCGTACAAAGATGGAAAATACACAGAGAATCTTGATACTGTATACTATTATGCTCTCTTTGAATTGTTTGAATGCTGAGGAAGGAGCAACAGCTGCTAAAAGATATTTGTTTATAAATGCTGCTGAACTAATCCATCGTAGAGATTTTGATGCCTTGACTTTGAAATTTGGATCTAAGGACATGATGCTTTCGAAAGGAGTTTCTTATTTTGTTTTCACAGAGGATGAGACCCTGTTCATTTCTTCTATTCCGATATGGTATGATGGACCACGCCCTCCTGAACGGTTGCTGTGAATACCTTCAGAAAATTGCTTCGCTCAACTGCCAACTGAGATGAAACTAGCACACAGGTTATACCATGAAAGACCTAATTAACGACGCCCCCATTCAGCAGGAAGCAGTTTGGAGAGAAAAAACTGCGCCCATATTCCCAAATATTGTTTATAAATGTTCTTTTACATTTAAAGGGGGAGATGATATAGGTATGAATAATTTACATTGATATGGATTTTGCTTTAGTGATTTAAATTTAAGGTTAATTTTGTAATGTATATAGGTTGTTAATGAATAATCATTAATAATAGTTAAGTTTGTAGTCATGTTAGTTAAGATTTTCTAGATGTGCATAGATATATTTTAGATAGGCATTCTTCATATTTTTCAAAGATTATAGAATATGGCATTTTAAATGTTTTAATAACTTAGGACTTTTCATGACAATGAGACACTCTGCTCCTGGCAGCACCAATCTACTTCAAGAGGAAGATGGGCATCGAAGAGGATCCTTATGGAGTTTGATAGCCATTTGGGCAAGAAACTGCTCTTGCCTGGACTATTGCATAAACTGGACACAGAGAACCCGCAGAGAGAGGACTGCTGAACTTGCCTAAAGGTGAGATGATCTTTCGGGGTTCCTGATTCATGAAAGAGTCTGCAAGACATTCTTCAGGACAAGCAGATAGTGACTGCCTTTGAAATTTCCTGCTTTGTGGAAATGTCTGCTGGAAACTATGGGCCTGTAGGCCGAAGATGGATGCCCCAACGGTACAGAGGAACTTTGGGTGACTGTCCAGGCAGCGAGATGTCTCTGTCATTTCTAGAGCTTTGGATGTTAAGTTAAAGCCTTTTTTTTTTTGTTTAAACAGAAAAAGGGGAAGTGATGTGGGAGTGTCATATATCAATCTGTTGATTTCATTGGTTAAGTTATAATAAACCAACTGCTTGGCCTCAGCTTGGAACATAGATGGGAGGAGTAAACAGAATAGAATTCTGGGCGGAAGAGGAAGTGAGGTCAGACTCTGCTCTGCTTCCGGGGAGAGAGCCGACAGCTCGGGAGCAGAGACGCCATGCTCAGCCCTCCCAGGTAGACGCAACGATGGATGGAGGCTAGAATCTTCCCGGTAAGCGCACCTTGGGGAGCGTACACACATCATTAGAAATGGGCTAGTCCAGGTGCGAGAATTAGCCTGTAAGGGCTAGGGTTCATGGGCCAAGCAGTTCTTTAAATGAATACAGTTTGTGTGTTGTTATTTCGGGCATGAGCTAGCCAAGCGGCCGGGGTGTTGGGGACGCAGCCCCGCCGCCGCTTCCTATTTCAACAACTGACATTAGGCAGTGCTGGCTGTGCGGTCATCTCCGCCCCTCAGTGACTCCACCTGGGTAGACCGGATCTGGCAGTGCTGCCAACATGTGCACATGGAAACAAATCGACACTTCTTTTCCCTGAAGAGCTGGTTGTTGAGCATATCCCAGCATACGCCTGCAGCAGGCTAGAGAATAACCAGCCAGGAAAACCTTGTTCCAGCTTGCTTGCAAACCCATGCTCGTTCTTAAATAGATCAGCAGTTAGCTGATGTGTCCATAGCTTGCTTCTGTAGTTTTACTGGGACACAGTAATGGGCATCATTTTTTTATTAAGACAGAAACCATGTAGTGTCATACCCTAAAACATGATCTCTGATCCACTACAGAAAAGTTTGTTGATCCCTCTCTATAGCAGGCCAGTCAAACCAGCATGCTTCAGAATTCCCTGGAGGGCATAGGCTGCCAGCCACCACCACCCCATCCCAAGTTGAAATTTAGGGAGTAGGGGAACTGAGTGTGTGTATGTGTGTGTATCGAATAAGTTCTCAAGAGCTGCCAAGGATGCTGACTGGAGAATCCCACCTTGGAACCACTGCTCTGGGCAATAAAGAGGAAGGTACCCCAGAGAACAGCTTCATGGGCCATATGTGTGCTCAGGAGGAATCTGGCTGCAGAGAGTCCCAGAGTTCTACAGTCATGTTCTCCAAGAAAAACATGGAAAAGGATATTTGGAACATAAAAATAAAGAAATGATATCCCTATTTTGATAAGGGAAATGAATTTTATAGATCAAGGGAGAAGAAACCCTTTATAATCTAATAGGCAGCAGAGAATAGCCCTACATCCACCTACCCATCAGGGAGGCTGCCCTGCTGGAGCTACCAATGACTGCTCAGACGCTCCAAAGCAAGCCCTAGACTACCTGCCCCCAGTGCAGGAGACATGCCAGAAGGGAGTTCATTAGGTCTGCTGACAAACTATTTACTTCAGGTAAACCTGCTAATGTAACTATTCCTACAGGGATAGTAACAGGTGAGGTCTAACACTGCCACTGTAGTTACAAAAATATGAAAAATGGGAGTTCCAGAAATGGCACAGCAGTTAACGGCACTTAGTGCCCAATTATGAGGACTGAAGTTTGGAACTCAGCACCCATCAACAAGCCAGGCATCCCAAGTTTGTACATCTGTAACCCCAGCTCCAAGGGTTGCAGATACAGGACTGCTAAGGCCTAGTGTAAAGGTAAGGGTGGAAAACTGCAGACTGGAAGAAACAAACAAACAAAAATCACCAAGCCAGCGAAAATGGCTACTCCTGCTGACAACATAGGTATATATGACTTCAAGGATCCGCCAACGTAGGGAACTGTAATTGAAAATTCCTCTTCAAAGCCAACCTGGCCATGTTTCTACATAGACACTTACTCAACAAAAAACAGTTGTCCGTTCTCGTCAGTCTCTTGCTCCCATCCATATGGCAAATCTGAAACACAAGAAAGATTGATTGACAGCTGTAAGTATAGTGGAATGAAGCCAAGCCATGCCCCAAGGTCAGGAAGAAGGGTCATCCTTCTTATCTCCTGTACCCTAAACTTTCTGGACCAGCTTCCTCGGGTAACAAGGTCAAGCGCGGTGGCTGCAGAAGGCCCAGTCTCCCATCTGAAATGCACATTTCTGCCTCTGATTTAGCTAAAATCCTGTTACACTCTTGATCACCCTTCAGCATTCACTTGGCTCCACCTCTTCCTGCGAGCCTCAGCAGCTGCTCCTGTGAGCGTGAGTTCCCAAAGACCGCAACCATGTCTGCAAGTACAGCAGACACTGACCAGTGGGGTGCTGACTTGTGCCATGGTTTAGAGCCATCCCATCATTTCCATGTACCAGCCCATCTGTCTTCAACTAGACCCCAAGCCCACTGAGGCCAAGCAGCTTCAACGCCTTTTGTTTTTATTCAGTACTTCTTCTATTCCATGGATTGTGTACTTGTTCGGAAGCACATAGAAGTCATGGTTTCCTAAAAATCCGACATTTGCCTCCACAGCCTACACCAACAGCAATTACCCACATGGTGCAACTACAGAGAAACCCAGCAAGGCAAAGGCCTCAACTATTTCAGTAATCTTTTGTTTAAGGCCATAAGATACCCTCCTGTCAATCTCAAGATCTTATCTCCTCTCCTGCCAAATCCCACTAGACTCTCACACTGAGTCTTATTCCTTGATGGTCACCCAGCAGGCAGCCTTCCCAGGATGCCAGGGTCAACTGCTACCTCACCACTGTGACACCTTCCCTAGCTCATCAATGTTGCAGACTTGGGATTCTGGGCTTCTGACATACAGACCTCCTGCAACTCGTTTCCTTTTGCCGGTTTTCGGATGTTCCCACTGGGTCTTTTCCTCAGTGTGGCTGAAACACAGACCACAACAGAAAACATTAACATGGCTAAAGAATAATCACTGTATTAAACTGTGTCTCTCCCAGATAGAGCAGGAGTAGTAAGAACAGGTGCAGAAATAAGTACTCAGAGCAGAAATTTTCCTGGCTACATCAGGTCTGAGGCCCCAGGCCTGAAAGAATTTTGCAGGCCAGGTGGAGAGAGCAGTGGGAGGGCAAGGAGGGACTGGGTCCCAGCGATGAGTCAGCTTTGCAAAGCTTTATGAGTCACAAAGGTCTAGGAAAACACTTTGTGTTTCTTTTCCCTTTATTTGAGGATAAACTGATAAACTTCAGTGTCTGGTTTATAGTGCTCACATTTAAATATAAAAATGTAGCTTAAATATAGTATTGTTAATGCCAATCTTTCTTAAATGTTTATTTTCCTTGTTCTTTTTGCTTTGTTTTTTGTTGTCATTGTTGCTGTTTTGCTTAGTTTTGTTGTTGCTGCTGTTTTTTGGAGATAAGGTTTTATGCAGCCTGGGCTGGCCTGAACTCATTGTCTAGCCAGGGAGGACATTAAACACTTAATAATTCTACTGTCTCTACTTGCTAAGTACTAAATTACAGAAGTGACTTTAAAAATGTACATTCTGGGCTGGAAAACTGGCTCGAGAGGTAAAAGAGCTTGCTATGCAGTCCTGACACAAATGTGCTACCTGGATCCAGCAGTGGACATAGAGAACAAGCTCCTGAATATTGTCCTCTGACCTCCACCAGAATGCCATGACATGCACACACTGTTAGACACACACACAGTTTTAAATGTGTGTTCTGACCCCAGGTGTAACTTCAGTGTCTCATAACTCACTGGGTCCTGAGCACACCCAAAAGAACATTAAGAACGCAGTACGATGGCAGCACAGGTCACAGGCTATAACAAGATGACGGTGGGTCTGTGGACACTAGATCTGACAGGACAGTCCCTAGGCGCCACTAGTCCACTCACCCTACCTCTCAGCCGTCACTTCCTGTCACTTGCAGAATGGGGCTGCTATGAGGACACTGCTCAAATGGTCCCACGGAGAATCATTATAATAAAGTGGTAAACTTGTAATACATTCTACTGGTAAACTGTCATGTGTTGTCCAAGCCCACTGAAAGCGGACTCTTGTATCAAGGAGCATGTTTATTTCAGGTGTCCTCCAAAAGCTCCCAAGAGGCTGATGACAAGAAGAAAAGAAACAGAAGACAGCTAAGGGTATTTAAAAAAAAAAAAAATACCATGTCCTTGAGCACAGCTAGAAGATTCCTAAGTGCCCCCCTCAGCTACGATTTACCCCACAATATAAAAATGTCTCTGGGTAAGGGGAAGCTTGTCCATGGAGAGAGCTGTACCAGGAGATGGGGAAAGCCAGGATGGCCCCTCACAGGGCTCCCAGATGTCTGCTGCTGTTGAACACATCTGACTTAAAGCTGTGACTTTACTTCTCACTCAGCTGGGCTCCTCCACTCTGTTTCTGAGGGGCCTTGTGAGTACTCCACTGGACAGTGCTTTGCTATTCACGGCTTCTATCTGCTACGTGGCATTTGATCCTTTACATTTGTTCGATTCACATTTAATAAGCCCATTTAAAACTGAAAGTATAGCTGTAATAGATCATTCTCGTATAGAGTATGGATCAAAAGCTAGAAACACTGTCGCCAGTGACAAGAACCCGACCATCAGGGAACCAAGGGGACACTGAAGGAAGCACTGGAAGCATTCACTTCCTTCAATCCACACTCAAAAGGAGAGTATCTAACTGTATCCCTTCATCACCAGCTGACAAGATGCCTATTTAGATGCCAGGAACCAAACACAGTGGAAGTACAGGTAGCTGGCACAGCATAGACAGGCCTCTAGGGCAGAGACTGCACACAGAGGTCCAGGTAGGAGCGGCAAATGCAGGATCACTTGCATGACCCTTAACCTCCTGCTCATACAATCCACTTACTTCTCCAGAGTCACTCGTCCCTTCTAAAGACACAAACTCAGTGTCACTCCCTGGCTCCAGAGTCTGACAACAGAGTCCCAGGTCCTCAGTAAAGCACAGAAGGGCTTCTGCAAATTGATTCCTTCCACGACAGTCTCTGGCTTTACAGCCCTGTACCACAGACAGAGGCCTGCCCTGCCTGGGACCCTTCCTCCCGCTGTGCCCTCCACCTGCCTGACTTCCTGCCACACAGACCCACCTTTCACCTGTGCTCTGAACACAGGCCAAGGACACCTCTCTGAGACATGCTCCCTTGCCCACTCACACACACCCCCTGCTGGACAGACTCAATGTACTGGAGCTACTAATACAAGTCATCTATCAGGTCTTGGGGAGCTCCTTTAGATGGCAGCTGCACCTCACTCAGCTGGGCATCACCAGTGTCCACAGGAGGCCTGGCTCTTCATGGCTCTATACACTTGAAGAAATAAATTCCCTGAGCCTCCCTGTTTTCTGTTTCTGTCCTGGCCAACAGGGACAGGAGTGACTCATACCCTTAAGTAGTTGAAAATCTCATGGGAAGTTTACAGCCTATCAGTGGAGAGATTCCAAGGCACAAACTAAGACCTAATTTGATAATAAGCTAGGAACGTTATCTTTAAACTTTTTCTGAAACCAAGTAGGGTGATGCAAACATGTGATTCCGTGCCTGGAAGGTGGAGGCAGGAGGCAACCGGATCAGGAATTTTTAATATCATCCCTGGCTACTTAAAAGAATTCTAGGCAAGCGTGGGCTACAAGAAACACTGCTGGACAAACAAAACTATAGCACATGCCACTAATCCCAGAGGCTAGAGGAGCTCTGAGTTTAAGTTTTTAGTTAAATATTAAAAACTAAAAATACAAATTATAGGTGTTATTATAATATCTTGCTTTCTGAAAGCCAAGTGATAAGAGACTCGTGTGAAAAGCCTTAAAAAGATTGATTCTCCTAGATGTTAAAAACAGAAAGCCAGGTATGTTCATGCATACTTGTTGACCCCGGCCAGTCCTCAGGAAGTGAAGACAGGAGACTCAGGAGCTCAAGTTAAAGCCAGCCTGGACTACATGAGACCCTGTTTAAAAAGATATTTTACAAACTCATAAAAAAGCGGGGTGGGGGGGGGGGCAGTGGCACACACCTTTAATCCCAGCACTGGGGAGGCAGAAGCAGGTGAGAAACCTTGTCTTGGGAAAAAAGAGAAAGAGGGAGGGAGGGAGGGAGGGAGGGAGGGAGGGAGGGAGGGAGGGAGCAATGAGGGAAGTATTTTAGAAGAGGAAACAAGGGCTGGAGAGATGGCTCAGAGGTTGAGAGCACTCCCTGCTCTTCCAGAGGACCTGAGTTCAATTTCCAGCAACCATATGGTGGCTCACAACCATCTGTAATGAGATCTGATGCCCTCTTCTGGCGTGTGGGCATATATGCAGACAGAATGTTGTATATATAATTAATAAATAAATAAATAAATAAATAAATCTTTGAAAAAAATAGAAGAGGAAGCAAATCGGGGGTGGGATAAGAAAAGAGTAATGGGATATCGACCACTATGAAAGTCCACAGTATACATACGAAAAAAGACAACAGGGACTTGGGGACTAGGAGGGAGATGGACCCTTGGTAGGCAGAGAGCTAGGGAGAGGAGCCATAGCTAAGTAACAAAGGTGAACTCCCAAAGGCCAGCTCTTCCTTACCCTCCTGACCTGAGACAAAAGCCTGACAAAAAAACAAAGGCCTTGATGGCTTTTTTTGCTGTTGCCAGCAGGCCCTTGGGGATACTCAACAAGTTCAAGGCCAAATCAGGGCATGTTACCCAAGAGTTGTGGGTCAACCAACCACCTTATCTTTCTGTAAACTGATCAACTCTTATATTAGGGAAGGAAAGCTCTTCAAAGACTTAAAAATAAAAAAGAAAGAGAGGAGAGAGAGAACGGACTCTCAAAAAGAGCCTAGATTGGGGGGGGGGGCTTCCAGCGCTGTCCCTCTGCTTTGCACAGGGTCTTTTTGTCTATGTGTGTCTGCCGTTGTGAATGTGTCCCCATGCCCTATAAACGTCCTTCAACTGTTGATTCTGCCTGCCGCTGTTTAGCGTTACTGGAGATTTCTCCACCGCAACCTGTAGCACTGGGGTTTTTCCTGCCTTTTAATTCTTTACCTGGCAGAGAAAACAAACCCTACTGAGAGCCCTAGCTGTATCAAAAACCCTTCATTTTGCACATTAAATATACATTACTTGTTAAAAATGAGCAGATTCCCCCAACGATAGAGTCAGGTGCAGTAGGTTCTCTATAGAAAACTCCATGTCTGTATATAAGACACAACCCAGATACTGGGGGTGGAGGGTCGGGGTCACCCAGTCCTACGTTCACAATGTGGCCCTGTAAAGGCAGGTGGATCTGTGAAAATTCGAGCCTAGCCTGGTTTATTAAGCTAGTTCCAGGGCAGCCCGGTTTTCATAGAGATCCTGTCTCAGAAAAAAAGGGGGAATAGGAGGAGGGACTGACCACACAAGTAATTCCAACATCAGGCCTAAGCAACTTTCCCACAGATACAGTCCAGTAATGCCGGCTGGGCGGGAGATCTGCAAGCCACCAGCCTCTCCACTGTGTGCCTTATGTACAGCACTAGATTCGTTCTTGTGTCAACTCAATTTACTGATGAGGAAAACACTCAGTCAGGGCTTTCAATGGCCCAAGGTCACGCTTAGTTATGGAGAAAGGCTCTGCTGCGGAAACTTTCCCAAAACTTCCCTGGGAAACCACTGTGAGCCACCCAGGACCTCTGTTTAAAACTGCAGACTGCGGGGGCCTTCAAGGGTCGCCTTGGCGGGAGCTGGGCATGGACGTTTGCTCTATTTCCTCTAAGACCTCGGGGCCAGCACCGCACCGGGCAGTGGCACCTCGTGAGCAGCAGGGGGCGTTGCTGCAGGCGGCCCGGTGGCCCGGTCTTGGCCCTGAGCCCGCAGCAGCGGGGCCCCGAGGACAGGTGGCTGGCGATCTGGATGCGCGTGCCCGCCGGGCTGCACCGCGCAGGGTCCAGGCCTCACAGGACACGGGTCCCGGGGGCGCCGCTCCAGGCCGCTTACTTGGCGTAGTACACCCAGCCGTCCTTGGTGGTTCTCTCCTCCCAGCCGGGAGGCAGCTCATCCTCGCTGTCCGTGTCGTCCAGGCCCGCGTAGCGGAGAGCTGCCATGGGGGGTGACAGGAGTAACCGCCGGGTCTCCCCTCAGCAACTGACTCTGCCTTCAACCGCGCCGCCGCGCTTCACAGAGCGCCCCGCCCCCCGCCCCCGGACCGCTCGCGCCTGCGCTCTGCAAGCCCAGCCGATCCGCATCTGTAATCCAGTTTCCTGTTTTCGCGTCGACTGGCGGGAAAGGGGACGGAGCCTGAAGAGAGAGGCAATGGAAGCGCAGGAGAGACCGAACGGCCTTGTGGCTGGAAGGAAAGACAGGAACGGCTCAGAAACTGGAATAAGCGTCTTCACCTGCTGGAAGGGGCGTGCTCACTCAGTCACGGTGCAGGACTCCGCCCGTTGCTGGGCGACCCGAAATCACTTCCTCATTGTTTTACCCAATCCTGAATGAGTCTCGGCAATGGGGTATCCTGGGAAATGTAGTCCAGGCTCAACAGCGCTATAAAATACAGCAAAAAAAGAAAGCTTTCTGATAGTTATCCTAGGTCCCAGTCTCTTCCCTTGCAGTCGTGAGTGCTCAATTTTTTGAGATTGCAACGCGTTACTGTGACCTTGTCATATACAAAGTTAACACTGGAGAACAGCTCAATCGAATTACAAAAAGGAAAAGAAAATCTCAAAATGTTTTAAGCTTACGGTTTTTGTGTCGGGCCGTATTTATTATTATCCTGGGCCGTTTGCTGCCAGGTTGGGCACACCCGTAAGAGTAAATGTCCCGGCTTGATACTACACAGTTTTTCCATTCACAAGCTTCGTTGTACATGTAAATCCTACATTTTAAAAACCATTTATACTGTGGAGAACTTAGAAATACAAGGTCTAGACAGGTGCAGTGGCTCATGCCTGCAGTCCCAGAATTTGGGAGGCTAAAACAGAAGAATTATCAAGAGTTGAGGCCAACCTAGGCTATAAGTGAGACAATGTCTCCAAACATACAGAAAGTAAAAATTTGCGTTCCTCCAGATTTTCCATTAGAGAGAAGAGTCATCCAGCCATAATGGAGTTCTCTTGTTCATAGGCACTACCTAATTCCAACCTCCCAAAGTAGACTCTTACAGCACTTGACAAGAATCCCGTCTGTTTGTCCTAGCTCCTGAAGCCTACCCTTCAGCTTGGCAGTGCTGAAGGAAGTTCCCAAAACATACCGGACTGATAACTTGCTTCCCAGCCCTGTGTTACAGAGAAGACTTCTGGCCCAGGACTGAGGGAATGCCTACCCCTCTCAGAAGACTGCATATTCTATGGGTAAGTTCCGGACAGTGTTGCTTTTGTCTTCGGCTCCGAACATAATCATTGCTGTGGGATAGATAGCTCCTCCCTCTCCGTACTCCTTAGGGGCAGACACATAATGCAGTGAAAAGCTAACTGGATGAAAACAACATCTAGGGTTCTTTTTTCCTCCACATGTGTATGTGTATGTAGTGTGCGTGTGTATGTGGACACACGTGTGCACGTTTGAGGAGCCCTGGGGTTGATAAGAAGGGTAAATTCTTCAACTGCTTATTCATTGAGGTAGGGTCTCAGTTGTCTCCTAGCCTTGCTCCAGGGATGCCTGTCTCAGCTTCCTCAACACTGGAACTGCAGAAAGGTGCCAACCCACCCTGAATTCCCAGCTTGGTCCTCATGCGCACATGGCAAGGGCTCTAACCACTGAGCCATCTCCTCATCCCAACCATTTAGCTGTGACAGCACTGCCCTCCCGCTAGATTCCTATGAGAGCGTGACTCTTTAAACGTCGGTGCGTTTTTATCTGCTGTTGCTAATCTACTGCATGCACCTCTGCTTACCCTTTCATCTCCCCCCTTAGCCCACTGACTCCTCTGATATGACCAGGAAGTGAGATCACAAAGTCCCCTGATTGTGTAGAGAGAATGAGTAAGGTCCAAATGAAGAGTCTGGGTACCCCTGGTGACCTGTGGCCTCTTCTCAAGGTGTGAGGGCTTAGGTTCACCAGGATTGCTCTAGCCAGGGCCTCTTCTGTCACTTGCTTTTGGTGATATGGCATCAAGCCATCGATATTGATAATGAAGAGTGTCCTTCTGCTGTAGTTCGATTCTGAAATGTCCCCCCACAGGCTCATGATTTGAGCGCTTGATTCCCAGATGGTAGTACCATTTTGGAAGTTTCTGAAAACTTTGGGAGGTGGTGAATAGCTGGAGCTAGGTTGCCTGGTGGGGAAGATGTAACAGGAGTATTATCCTGGGGCTGGCTCCAATCCTCCTTCCTACCTGGATCTTCTAGTTAGTTTTTGTTGGCAATTTTACACAACCAAAAGTCACCTGGGAAGAGGAAAGAGCCCAGATATGATTGGCTGGTGGCTGGATCTCTGGGGAGCTGTCCTAATTATTTATTGATGTAGGAGGGTTCCGCCCAATGTAAGGGCCACAATTCCTTGGTCAGGTAGCCCTGAACTGTATTTCTTTAAAATGTAGCTACAAGGGAGCCAGTAAGCAGTGTTCTTCCATGGTTTCTGCTTCAGCTCTTGCCCCGACTCTTTTCAATGGACCAGGACCTGGAAGTGTAAGGCAAATCCATCTGTCCTCCCAACATTGCTTTTGGTCATGGTGTTTATTACAGCAACCAAAAGCAAGCTAGCATGCCTGCTGTGGTGAAAACTGATCTGCCCCATCATGCCTTTCCACACCTTCATCTGCTAAGTCCTCTCAACTCTAAGCAAATCAGTATTTCATCCACTAAGTTGTTTCTGTCTGGTATTTTCTTCACACCGGTGTGAAGAAGTTGATACATAATACATCTCCAAGTTATTGGCTCTCAGGTGTGGGAGTTTGAATGTAATTCGCCCCCATAATCTCATAGGAAGGGGCACTATTAGGAGGTGTGGCTTTGTTGGAGTGGGTATGGCCTTGTTAGAGGAAGTGTGTCACTGTGGGGGCGGGCTTTGGGGTCTTGTCCTTAAATTTCCCTCAGTATCACAATTAGTTGACTTCCTGTTGCCTGCAAGATGTAGGACTTTCAGCTCCTCCAGCACTGTGTCTGCCTGCATGCTGCCATGCTCCCCGTCATGATGATAATGGACTGAACCTCTGAAACTCTCAAATGAGACACCCCAGTTAAATGTTTTCTTTATAAGAGTTGCCATGACCATGGTGTCCCTTCACAGCTAACTAAGACACCATGGTAGAATTCCAAACTTCCGGGAGATTCTGCTGTCCTGATACACTGAGAGTGGTCTCCGAGGTTCTTCTGACATGGGCACCAGGGCTTCTCAACCTCAGCACTACTGACAGTTGAGGCAAGTCATTGTGGGGTTGTCCTATGCACTGGGAGATGCCTCCACTAGCATGCCCGCTCCCGGATATGACGATCAAAACTGTTTCCAGATTAATGTGTAGTGTGGCTAGCCTGTAATTCTATCATTCAGGAAGCAGAGGCAGGAGGACAGCTGTAAGTTCAAATCCAGCCTGGGATATATAGAAAGACCTTGTCTCAAAATATTAAAAAAGGTGAGGGGGAGAAAAGGTGTTCCTAAATTAATATTTGGGTCCCAGTTAAGAAGCATGCATTAAGTCAGGCATGGTAGCACATACCTTTAATACCAGCAGAGGCAGATCGACCTCTGGAGTCAAGACCAGCATGATCTATGAAGTGAGTTCCAGGACAGCCAGGGCTACACAGAGAAACACTGTCTCGAAAAGAAAAACAAAGCAGGACTCATTTATGTTTACAGGAAGCTAACAACGTATTAACTTGTTTGGTATGTCAAGGGTGCAATACCAAGATTTATTTAAGGTATCATGGAACAGGTTTCTGGCAAGAGTCTTCGAATGGTACACTACCCTTGAGGACTGTATCATAGGCTCTGAATGATAAGTTCTGTAGCATTGTCCTGTTGGAAATATTATTTTAAGATGTGTAACATTTGTTTATGTTGCCTTTCTTTAACTCTGTGAAGCTGTGATACTTTGCCTGTCTTGAACACCTGATTGTCTAATAATGAACTGAACATTCAAAAGCAATGCAGGAGAAAGGATAGGTGGGGCTGGCAGGCAGAGAGGAGATATAAAAGGAGAAATCTGGGAGAAAGGGACTTTGGAGTAGTAGCCCAAGAAGGAGTAGGACATCGGGGCCAGTCATCTAGTTACACAGCAATCCACAGAGTAAGAGTAAGATTTACAAAAGTAAGATAATGGAAAAAAAAAAACCTCAGAGGCAAATGAGTAGATAGGATAATATAAGTTAAGAAATGTGGGCAAGAAACAAGTCAAGCTAAAGTCAGATAGTTATAACTAAGAATAATCCTCCATGTGTGATTCATTTGGGAGCTGGGTGGCAGGTCCCCCAAAGAGTCCAAAGTGCTTAACATCATCTTATGCTACATTGTCCCACAGATTCTGTAACCCCCCCCCCTTTAGGTCAGAGACATCTGATTGGCTGTTCTATACTCAAATAGCAATTTCAAATGATTATTAGTATGATATTATCTTCTTCCACCTCTTCTTTCATCTTATTTGTTGACCTCTACTTGAAGACCGACAAAGTGAAACGTGTAGGCATTAGCTGACACTGTAGTTCAGTGGTAGAGTGTTCAATTGGTACTGACAAAATAAAAAGCATAGAACCATAATATAGGCAGAGTTTTCCTGTGTCCCAGTAGTTACTCCCAAATCACCAGAAGAGCCTTAATATTAATTATAAATGCTCAGTCAATAGCTTAGGCTTATTGCTAACTAGCTCTTACAACTTAAATGAACCATTTCTATTAATCTATGTGCTGCCACATAGATCATGGCTTTATCTGTCCTCCAGCAAGTCTTGTTCCCTCTGTGTCTGACTGGTAACTCCTCTGACTCCACCCTTCTTCTTCCCAGCCTCCTCTGTGTTTGGATGTCCCACCTATACTTCCTATCTAGCTATGGACCAGTCTGCTTTTTATTAAATCAATCCAAGTGACAATTCTTCACAGTGTACAAAAGGATTATTCCACATCACCATCAAGATTGTTCTGTGGGTAAAGTTAAAGGGAATGTTTAATGTTTAGAATATCGGTTATTTTTCTATGGTTGTGATGAAACACCATGACCCAGGCAACTTAGAAAAGAAAGAGTTCACTTGGGTTTATGGTTTCTGAGAATTAAGAAAGAGTATGATGGTGGAGCAAAGGCATGGTGTCAGGCAGTTCGAGCAACAGCAGAGATCTTACATCTTGATCCACAAGTAGGAGGCAGAGAACATTCTAGGGATAGTAGGAACTTGTGAAGACTCAAAGCCAGCCCTGCGCCACACCTCCCCCA